GGGGGGGGGGAATGGCACAATCAAACGGCGCACTAGGACTTCGATGTCGATGGGCAGACCTGCAGCCGCTCGTGGTGGGCAGGGGTGGAGAGAGGGAGGGGGGAATCGCTGTGGAGATGAGCGCTCTGATGAGATGGGCCATCCAGCCTTACCAAGCCAAATGCCAAAAACGCCCCCAGTTAACAGTGTGCCCCCTGGTGACCCTCCAGGGGAAAGCCCCCTGTCCTCCTCAGCCAGCTTCGCACAGACTTTTTGCAATGCAGCACCATGGTCTGCTATGGCAACGTCACCGATATCAATATCCCATCCCTGTTCCTGTCTCGGAGCTTTTTTAAGCGTTTAGACACGCTTGAGTTACACGGTCTTTAACAAACGCTGATTTATGGAATTGTTACCAACTTATCCCGGCATCAAGCTCCAGAGCGGAGCGTTGAAATTCCATACGGGGCGGGAATTGATACGGCGTGCCGCTGATTAATGCACCTTCTCTCAGAGCGTTACGACTCATTATTGCATTTCAGGCTGTGAGGCAGACTTACAGTACAGCGAGCCCAGAGGTGCAGTGGGGCTGATTTTCAGGAGCAGAGTAGGATCGGATTTGTTTTGTGTGTATTTGCTCAGCTTAAGTGACCTGACTCTCTCTCAGCCATTTATGTAGCTGAATGTTTTCTGGGAGTACTAAGCAATAGGTTTGAGGAAATAAGAGCAGGACTCCCCTGAGACTCGAACCGGCGACCGCCCATTTTCCCACACATCAATTGCTGTTATCCTGTTCTCTGAACTACGCTGGCTGTAATAAAATGATATGAGATGTTTGGTTTTACCATCAGTGTTTCTGCAAAGTTGATCTCCTTTATCAGTCTGGCTAAAATGTCCTAAGGAAGGTCCTGTATCCCAGAATGCTGTGCTGCAGGCCTCAGAGAGAGGCCCTCAGTCTCCTCCCTCCCTGCCATCTTGTAATGGTGCCTCTTTGTGTCCCTGCAGCACCCTGTGGAGGACAGTACACTGGCCTGGAAGGAGTGGTACTGTCTCCAAATTACCCCCACAACTACACCTCTGCGCAGACCTGCTCCTACCATATCACCGTCTCCAAGGAATTCGGTGAGATTTACAAATAAACCGTTTATATACAGACACATCAACAGATTGATTGATTATTTTGGTTGTTCCTCATTACTGGGAATATAAGGAAGTAAACACTGGTAAAACACAACAATATAATGATGCATTAAGTGTAATTATCACTATAATACATCCATCCATCCATCCATCCACCCATTTACCTACCCATCTATCAGTCGTCAGAGCACTGGGTCAGGGTTCTGGGGCTTGGCTAGGGGCACCCTGTCCCAGTGAGTATAGGGCACAAGACAGGGTCCATTCTGAATGGGACGCCTGTCTATCACAGGGTATCAACTTAGGCTGAATTATATGAATTATTTTAAACAGTTATAAGTTAAGCCATTATTTAAGATACATTTTTTGGAACTTTATTGATCCCCATGAGGGAAATATCAATCCAGCAGCACAAAAAGAAATACAGTAAATTATAAAGTAAGTAAGAACAGACAACAAATATGTAAAGAAAATTCAGTGAGGGCATAACCATGACAGAATGAGGTAAGAATGAGTGTGAAGAAGTTATCAGTGCCCTGGCAGTGCCCGCAGCTCTGTGTCTGTACCGCTCTGTGCCGTCGGTCTCGCTATGACCCTCCATTACTCCGTATCCTAAGGCGTTTCACTTTGCTGACCCTTGTGCGTTAGCTCTGTAATAAGATAATACATCTCTGTCAGCACGCTTTGCCACGAGCGGAATTCGACACTCCAGGGTCACTGAAGCGTGACGCTGCGGCCTGCCGTTCAGACAGTGACCCTGCACCAAGCAGGCCCCTCGCATGTCTGTCTACACCAGCACGTCTTCATCCAGAGCTGGCTGCCAGTCGGCCTCTTGCTGACATTGTCAGTAAATGTTTGTTAAGTGGTTACGTCTGAAAAGGTCAGAGTGTACAGTACCGTTTGTAGATGGTAGGTTCTGGAAAATCGTAAAAGTCCATGCCGATTGAGACGTCACACCTGATTGTGTGGTTAATTAATACTGCTCTGTGTGAATTAATTTCCCCAGCTTTCAATCTACAAAAACAGAGTTAAATATAAAAATGAAGAATTACACCTGTAGGCAATACTATTAATGCATTGTGGGAATGTTCTGGAAACATCCAGCCTTGATTGTGTCCGGTTTTCTCCCAGTGGTGTTTGGGCAGTTTGCATACTTTCAGACGACCATGAACGACTCGGTGGAGCTGTTTGATGGGGCCAACCAAAATGCCAGGCTGCTCAGCTCGCTGTCCGGTTTCCACTCAGGTATGTCATCCTGTTTGAAAGAATATTCCAGAAAACGAGGTGTAGAGCTCAAGCTTCTGATTCTCAGAGAAAGGGCAGGAAAACTCAGCTGTTACCTGCCAAGGAAACTGTGTTTGATGTGACCCCAACTGGGCCCTTTACAGAAAAGCTGGCAACCTGAAATACTTCGATAGTGAAATAAGATAAAGATTGGAGTCGTGCTCACAGCACGTGGTGAAACGGCTGTGATTCTGACTGGCGACAGAGTTTGTGGGTGTCTGAAGCCTTTGTTCCTACATGTGGGCTTATTGTTGAAATCCAGTCGCAACAGTGCTTTAGGCTGAGCTGCCCATAAGGAAATGGAATGTAGTGTTTCACTACCAAAGTGCTCATGAATCCTTTGCATATTAGTCTGTCAGCTTCATAGATAGTTTGTTTCCAGCAAAGTGCAGGCGATGTTACACCATGGGGCATTTATGAGCGATCGCTAATTGTGGCTGGTTATTTATACGCACTTCAGAGCACCGGCGTTCTCATATCTGCCAGCAGGGGATCCCCACCGTCACTCGCCACTGCGTAGGCTGTCACAGCAAATCTGTGGTTCTTCTGCGGATCTGACATCAGTGCCTTTAGTTTTTGTGAAGCACACGCACACCTGTGAATACATGCTTCTTTGACATGCTACACACGTGCTGCTCATGGTCACACATGCAAAGCCCTCTTTTGTTTCTGCAGGAGAGACTCTGCCTCTGGCCACCTCCAATCAGATCATGTTGAGATTCACTGCAAAGAACGGCCCGACAGCTCGTGGATTCCACTTTGTTTACCAAGGTACTCTGTGTGTGTGTGGCCCCCACAATGGGATAAAAACCTGTTATTTTGACATTGTGTGGAACATTTTCAGGTTCCCACAAAGATCTGTGAATGCAATCAGAAAACTAAAAATGTCAAAAGTCTCATATCTTGTTTGGTTACTTCTGGTTAAGGTTAGGGCTGGGTAGGGGGTTAAGGTCCACATGTTGGGATTTTCCCCATAGAAATGAATGG